TAAAGGGGAAGGGTTGTTTTCAGATTTTTACACTGCTGTTGGGAGGAAATACTTCCCTGGACAATCAGCACTCTGAAGAAATAATTGAATAATGAAGCAAAGCTTTTAGTGGCAAGATGAGTGACATTCAGCAAGGCTTCTTGGCTAACTAGAAAGATTGACATTCAAACATGAGTTTACATACCCTTTCTGAGTTTTGGTCTAAAACTGGGTTTTGGTGAAGGTTAATTCTGAGCTTGGTGACGTTTAATCCTGTGTTTATTGATGGGATAATTTTCCCTATTCAGCTTCAACAAGCAACAGCTACTGTTGTGATTTAATTATTTCTATTGTGTTTGAATTTTTTCCTTTCTCATGGTTTCTTTTTCTATCTGGGGAGGAGGTCTTCCTTCACTGCTTTAGTACTATGTGGCACTGTCCTTTTGGGGTATACTTCCAAGAGGCAGGATGCAAGCTTGGCACTGATTTTTTTTACTGCCTTTCTGAGGGGCATATGTGACCTTTCCTTAAATCTGGATGATTTCCTTAGGAAATCTTGTAAGGTGAGTATCTTTAAGTGGTGCAAATGGATCTAAGAATTGCTTTTCCTGGGTGTGCTTTTTCTGGAGAGCTTAAATGAACTATCTGCTAAAAGGTTTCACTTTATGAGCAAGAGTTGGCTGCTGATAGTTATCATTGCATTTTAACTATTTTCATTCCTCAAGGTGCTCTGGCACCCTGCCTGATTTGTAACTCCAGTTTGCAGGTATTTTTGATCTAATGATTGGTATTTAGGGCAGCTTTTTGCAAGCTTTTTGCAAGCAAAGAAGCTTTTTGTATTTTTGTACAGGTAATCCTTGACTTACAACAGTTTATTTAATGACCATTCAAAGTTACAATGGCACTGAAAAAAATGACTTATGACCATTTTTCACACTTATGACCGTTGCAGCATCCCCACTGTCAGGGGTGGGATTCTACCGGTTTGGGAGAACCGGATGTTAATTGTACATCCAGTTCTGCGAACTGGTAGTTCCAAAGACCAGCTGGCCCCGCCCACCCTGCCCCACCCCTCCCAGAAGTCGCCATGCGCCTGGTTCTGGCTCCCAGGTAGGTGGAGGCTTGCAAAGCCAAAAAAGGGGTGGGAAGGCGGGTGGATGTGGGGGGGGGCATGGGGGTGCCCCCCTGCCCCTTCCACCCTGCGCCCTCCTCCAGTGTGGCAAACTAATCACCTCATTGAACAGCCCGTTTTTAGCATAGCAAGCCTCCCTGGAGCCTCAGAGACCCAAAACAGCGCACAGAGGGAGTGGTGGGGGGGGATGCGCTTGGGGGTGGGGCGGTTCCCCTTACACCCTCCCCCCTGCGCACCATTTTGGGTCTCCTGAGGCTCCAGGGAGGCTTACTATGCTAAAAACAGCCTTTCTTTTGCTTTGGGGGAGTTGCAGGAGGAGTGCTGCCTATCACACACCTCTGGCCATGCCCACCCAGCCGGTGATTAGGGCAGAGAATGGGCTGCTCAATTAGGTAATTAGTTTGCCTCTCTCACCCGAGGGGCTGCCTGCTCTCCCTCCCAGCATGTAAAGGCTTCATTCACTTTGTTCCTGCCCTCAAACAGTAAAGGTTCTTTGGCAGCTGGGCTTGCCATGGGCTTGAAACAACTGTTTGCCAGGTCCTTCCTCCTCCTTGCTCCTTTTGCTATGCCTGCTTCTGCCTCCTCCTCCTCCTCCTGCTTCCTGTTTCTCCTGCTACCTCTTCTTCCTTCTTCTTCCCCACTTTCCTCCTCTTCTTCTCCCAGCATTGCAACTGGGCTTGCGTTCCCTTCCTGCACCTCTCTCAAGTTTGCAAGACAAACACGCAGCAAGCCCAACTTGCAACCGAGTGCTTTCCCAAAGCCTTGTTGGAGGGAAGCAAGGTATGTGTGTGTGTGGGAATGTCATCTTAAGTGCTGGGTCTCCAAGGGAATCCCTCTCTCGTTTGCACCAAGACTGCTGACCTAGTCTCTCTCTCTCTGTCTCTGCCTCTCCCCCTCCTTCTCTCTTTTGAATGGTTCTGTTAGCACTTCATCAATGTGCTGGAACTTTAGTTTGTTTTGCTCTAAGAGTGAGTAAGAATTGTCTCTTCTCCCCCCCTCCCCTTTCTTCCCACACTCCTAGAAGAAAGTCACTGGTCTAATAACTGTGCTGAACCACTGAAAAGTGCAGGTGATGGTCATTCACCCTCTTCCTTTGATTGGGGGTTTCCTCTGCAGCAAAAGCAGAGAGCCTCTTCAAGTGAAGAATTCTCTGTGTCTTCTAATTTTCTTCCAGAACAGAACAAAAAAGCCTCTTCCTGTGAAGGCTTTTCCAGTTATTTATTCTGATTTTCTCCAGGAGCAAAATAAAGTCCTTTCTAGTGAAGTCTTCCCTGTTTGTTTATTCTGATTTTCTCCTGGACTGAAGCAAAATCATCCATTGGCAGGCTTTAAGTAACAATCCCACACTTATTTTACTCCATGCATGGCCCACCCACTATTTAATTTATACTTCTGTTTGTGCTTCTTTCCCAAACTGTATTCTTTTCTCCCCCCACCTCCCTCCTCCTCCTTCTTCTTCTTCTTCTTCTTCTCTCTCTCTCTCTCTCTCTCTCTCTCTCTCTCTCTCTCTCTCTCTCACACACACACACACACACACACACACACACACACACAGGTCCATGGTAAAATTGTCTTCCATGAAACCAGTCCCTGGTGCCAGAAAGGTTGGGGATTTCTGAATTAGGCCATGCAGGAGAGCCCTTTTAAGGATTATGTATTAATAGAAAAGTAACTAACTTAGCTCTGATCCTAAACCAGGGGTCCCCCAAACTTGGCAACTTTAAGACTTGTGTACTTCATCTCCCAGAATTCCTCAGCTAGCAGAGCTGGCTGAGTAATTCTGGGAGTTGAAGTCCACAAATCTTAAAGTTGCCAAGTTTGGAGATCTCTGTCCTAAACGCTAAAGCTGCTGCATATAAAAACAGAGGAGCTCTGATCAGCTGTCACAGCCACATTTTGGGTCTGAGTGGAGGTCCTGGGAAAAGTGTCAGAATAACACTTAGAAGGGGCCTTGGGGGGAACCCTACACCATTTCAGAGAAATGGCTGTCCAATCTTTTCTTTAAAATCTCCAGTGTTGGAGCATCCAGAACTTCTGGAGACAAGCAAGTCCACTGGTTAATTGTTCTCATGGTCAGGAAGTTTTTTCTTAGTTTTACGTTGCTTCTCTCTTTGATCAGTTTCCATGCATTGCTTCCTGTTTTGCCTTCTGCTTCTTTGGAAAATACATTGCCCACCCCTTCTTTCTGGCAGCCCCTTAAAAGCCTGTTGCCTATCACACTCTTGCGCAAAGCATATGAGCCATTTCCTCCTTTCAGCGGTCCATGAAAGTACATCTATAGTACATAGATAATAAAGTCAAAAAAAGGTGAAAGATAAGTTGAGGCTGGGTGTGACAAGGAATGACTGGGAAGGGGGTGGCAAGCGAGGCACCTCTTGATGTGAGTGACATTGAGTTGGTCATGCCCAGCCAGTCATGTGACCACCAAGCCACGCCCAGCCAGTCACATGACCAGAAAGCCACACCCAACCAGTCACATGACCACCAAGCCACACCCACAAATTAAGCCACGCCCACAGAACCGGTTGTTAAGAAATTTGAATCCCACCCTTAGTTATGAAGTTTGGAAGGTATCATCATATTTACTCTTGCCCTAAGAGGATAAGCTGTTCCAAAGGAGAATTCCCATAGAGAAGTCTTGCTTTAAATTTTTTTAAATATTACTCCTTAGGCAAAGGTGTTCTCCCTTGAAACAGCAGATCAGAAGTGCTGCATTGGTTTACTTTGTATTTTCCAGCTGTCTCTTCCAATGAATCTACAATGCATGCTCACAGGTTTATTTTAATGCTCATGTTTCTATCTGTGCATTTTGATTTTAAAAAATTAAATGCATTGGGAAAATTTGATATATATCAAGAAACCTTACTTAATGAGTAACATTGGCTTGAAGGTGCACACACACACCATAATTGGAAAACATAGGCTGTTTTAAATATAGTGCCAAACAACATGGTTGCCTCATGAATGAACATTTATATCCTGGACATGGTACTGTAGATTACTGAGGTAACTTTTTACTGTTGAAAAACATTAAGACTCCTAGTGATAGGTTTTTTTTAAAAAATGTGCTCTAAAAATCATTTTTGTATTCTTTTCTAATGCTTCAATAAACAAATGTTAAATGAATATTACAATAACCTGCACAAATCTTTTATGTCCCTGTTCCTCACTGGGATCCTGAATACCTTGAAATAAGTGAATAATCTGGAATGAATTAGGAATAATGAAGCAGCAAAAAGTTAATTCCAGAATAATAGTTAAAATATGCTTTCTTTTGCCACATTACTAAATATTCTTTTATATATGTGAGAACGTGATTGAGGAGCTTATTAAAATGCATATTTAAGCAATATATTTTGGGAAAATCCATACTTTTTATATGGCTGTGTATTATAAATGTTGATCACTCTGTTTCCAAATATTGGATGGTCAGTATCGGATTTAAGGTTATTTCCATGTAGATTGTAATTGAGAGGCATCTACAGAAATAAAACTTTCACTGTGTCAGTAGGTCCTTTGCAACAAGTGATACAAATACTTAAGGTTGGTATTCTGCCAAAAAGGGGAGATAATAATTTTAAAAAACATTTTATTGTTCATAATACAAATGAGTATATTGATACATAATATCAATTTATGTTGTAAGATGAAATACTGCTGCATTTGAAAATGACATCTGATTTCACAATTTTGAATGTGTATTTTAAATACAATATAATTAATTGATATAAGGTATATTTATATTATTTTTAAGAGCTATGGGCAATTTAGAAATGTCTTATTTATTTTACTGATTTATTTTTTATAAAAAATTGTTTTTAGGAGTACTTTGACTTCTATAGGAAATTCAAATTTAAAGGACTGTTACAGATTTTTTTCTGATTTGTAGATAAAAGACAATGGTGAACTTATTGTCAAGAATGCCCAGTTGCGCCATGCTGGAAGATACACATGTGTTGCTCAGACAATTGTTGATAATGCCACAGCTTCAGCTGATCTTGTTGTGAGAGGTAAAATATTTTCTTGATTTTTTTAAGTTAAGCTATTCCCACATTGGGGACGGAGGGCAGGAGAGTGTACAGCAGTGGTGGGATTCAAATTTTTTTTACTACCGGTTCTGTAGTCATGGCTTCCTTGGTGGGCATGTGACTGGGTGGGCGTGCTTGGTGATCATGTGACTGGGTGGGTGTGGCAACTCAATGTCACTCATGTCAAGGGGTGCCTCGCCTGGCCCCTCCCACCATTCCTTGTCACATCCAGCCTCAACGTATCTATAGTTCTGCAAAAATGTTGTTCACCTTTTTTTGACTTTATTATCTACGTAATATAGATGTACTTTCATGGACCACTGAAAGGAGGAAATGGCTCACATGCTTTGCGCAAGAGTGTGATAGGCAACAGGCTTTTAAGGGGCTGCCAGAAAGAAGGGGTGGGCAATGTATTTTCCAAAGAAGCAGAAGGCAAACAAGAAGCAATGCATGGAAACTGAACAAAGACAGAAGCAACCCAAAACTAAGGAGAAACTTCCTGACAGTGAAGTTTAACCAGTGGACTTGCTTGTCTCCAGAAGTTCTGAGTGCTCAATCACTGGAAGTTTTAAAGAAAAGACTAAAGAGCCATTTCTCTGAAATGGTATAGGGTTCCCCCCAAGGTCCCTTCTAAGCAGTGGTGGGATTCATTTTTTTTTTTACTACTGGTTAAGTGTGTGTGGCTTGTTGGGCCTGGCAGGGGAAGGATACTGTAAAATCTCCAGTCAGAGGTGGTATTTGTCAGTTCTCCGAACTCAAAATTTCCACTACCAGTTCTCCAGAACTGGTCAGAACCTGCTCAATACCACCTCTGTTTCTAAGTGTTATTTCTGTTATTTTGACACCTTTCTCAGGACCTCTACTCAGATTTTGGCATCCTCAGTTTTCCTGCCTGAGCAGGGGGTTGGACTAGAAGTCCTCCAAAGTCCCTTTCAACTGTCTTATTCCTGAATTAAATAGCTAAGAGTTAAAGAGCTGCCTCTTAGATTTCATTTTTTAATAAGATTTTTAGAAACTTGCAGTTGAAAGTTCTTCCTGTCTCCTTACCCTGAAGGCCAAATTTCATTTGGAATTTAATCCCAAACTGATTGCCCTTCTCCAAATTCACTCCCAAGAAGCAACATCTCATCTCTCTCTCTCTCAAGAGAAACTACAGTATTACTGGCATTAATCATCTTTCCTAGAATGTGTACAAGAGTCTAAACAGAAAATATAAGCAGGAGCCAGCAAATATTAACGTATTACTCACAAATCCCTCCTGGAAAATCAATATTGATTTTCAGTTCTAATTTAATATTTCCCAAATGCAATCCTTTGTAGAGCAAACAAAAAAAAAAGACATAAAATCAGACTGGCTATCCAACCCATACATTTTTACAAAAAGGCAGATCCAATTCAATTTAAAGGCACTTAGTCCTATCCATATTTGCAGAGGGACTTCATCCGTTGAACTGCTAAACCAATATAGGTGCAGAAATATTTCAGTCATAATTTCACATATAAAATAGCCATTGGTGTAATAAAACCTGCATATTGTTCAAAACAGTAATTAGTATTATGGCTGATGTTTATCAGCAAGCCTAAAAGTCAAAGATTACAAAAGTGCTTCTTTCTCTGTATGTATACAAAACATCGCATACCAGCCAGAATAGCATATTAAGCTGGACTTACTTATGCAACCTGATCTACAAAATAAACACACGTGTATTTATGCTCTGGACTATAGACACTGAATGCATGTAAATCACTGAAAAATATGTGATAGCCCTAGGCAAAAAAAAGGCAGCAAAATCACTCTAGTTGTAGGGACAGTGTAAAATATTAACACATGATAAATAATGGAACAATTAAAAATAATAGCACAGAGTTCTCTCTCTCTCTCTCTCTCTCTTTCTCTCTCCCTTCCTATTTCTTTTTTATTTATTTTATTTTTCTTTCTTTCTCTGTCTCTTCTGTCTTTCTCTCCCTTTCTTCTTTTCTTTCTTTCTTTCTTTCTTTCTTTCTTTCTTTCTTTCTTTCTTTCTTTCTTTCGTATCTCTCTCTCTCACACAGACACACACACCACTCTCACTCTCACTCCCCCTTCCTATTTCTTTTTCTTTCTTTCTTTCTTTCTTTCTTTCTTTCTTTCTTTCTTTCTTTCTTTCTTTCTTTCTTTCTTTCTTTCTTTCTTTCTTTCTTTCTCTCTCTCTCTCTCTCTCTCTCTCTCTCTCTCTCTCTCTCTCACACACACACACACACACACACACACACACACACACACGCCTGGTCTGGGATGAACTAATCCGGCGAGCTCCATAGCAGGCGGCGGGAGAAGAAAAAAAAGCGACTGGTGATGGTGATGGTGGCACTGCTCTGGGAGGCAGCCACGGGACATCCACCCGCCCACCCGGAGCACCTCTGCCGCCCCTCGCTTTCTTCCTTCTCCCAGGGGACAAAAGAAATAAAGCAAGCGGCAGCGGCGATGGTGGCGCTGCTCCTGGAGGTACCTCCGGGACATCCACCTGCCCTCCTGGAGCACCTCCACCGGCGCTCGCTTTTTTCCTTCTTCTGGGGGATGGGGTAGGCAGATGTCCCGAGGCTGCTGCACATGCACACCGCATGTGCAGCCCTGGGACATCTGCCCATCCTCCTGGAGCACCTCCACTGCCCCTCTCAGCCCCAGCAAAGAAAAGATGCCCCACAAGGGCCGCCTGCCCACCCACCCGCTGGCTGGGCTGGGCTGGAAGTAGTGCATCCTCTGGGAAAAGGAAGAAAGCGAGCGGCTGTGGCACTCTGGGAGGATGGGTAGATGTCCCAGGGATGCACATGCGGCCAGCCGAGCCCGGGGATTGTGGGGGGAGGCCCACAGCAAGCTCCAGGGATGTTGGGGGGTTTGGCAAGCTCTGTAGATGGTGGGGGTGAGAAACTCTGGGGATGGTGGGGGGGCCAGCAAGCTCCAGGAATGGTGGAGGGGCTGGCAAGCTCCAGGGACAAGTGGAGGGAGGCTAGTGTGAATCACAGGCTTACCTGTGAGCAGGCAGATCAGGGCTTCTCAGTTGGGGCGCAGGCACCACATGGGAAGGCAGGTTAGAAAGGCAAGCCACAAGGACCCAGTGTGCCGCATAGGAGGTGTGGAGTAACTAAGTGGGGTAAACGTCGGGCAGGCGGAGCAAGTGAGTGTCGGGCGGCTGGGAAGGGCAAGCAAGCATCAGGCAGGTGGGGCAAGTGAGCAAGCGGCAACTGGGCGACCGGGTCAGGGGTATGGCCAGCCAGAAGTCCCTACCAGATCAGCAACCCATGCAAATCGTCGCTACCGGTTCGGCCAAATCAGTGTGAACCGGCTGAATACCACCACTGGCATATAGGATTTCCACAGGAGTTAGGAACATATAAGAATCATATACTGTTCCCAGATTTAATCATCTCTAGAAATATGACAAAGGGAAGCCAGTCTCACAATTATATTTCACTTTCCAATTTCCAATAATTTGGAAAGAACTTTGAACATTTATTCCAGCTGGGTTTCAAGAGAAAGACATGGTGGACTCAAGACAGCTCTACAAAAACCAGAGTCGTCAACTGAGGTGGAATGAAGAGCTGACGAGTAGATTACCTCTCTGATAATTCTATTCCAGAGAAAGAGTACTTAAGATCACCCACAAATACTCCAGATAGCTGCCCTCACAAAACTGTGTTATTTTCTCTGGCAAGTTTAGAACTCAGGGACATGAGGAAATAGCCATTTTGCACAAACCATTGGTTAGCATCTCTAAAAAGACAATAACTTTGCATACTTCTTTTTCTAATCACTTTTTAAAACTGAAACTTTTGTAAAATTATTAGAAAGTTTTGGGTCCACACATTTTACTTTACTGTTTTTTCAATCTTTAGTAAAGGAAAGTGTTACTTACGAGTTTAAGAACTTTAAAAAATTTAGGAGTGGATAAGCAGCAAAAAGATTATTTTTTATTTCAAAAAGTAAAACCGGACTAAGGGTCCAAATAAATTTGAAATAAGATTCTGGATTTAATTGTAAAGAATTCTTCCTATTTAATAACAACTAAAATGAAAATTTAAAAATCAGAGAATAGAGGGAACTAAATATCACAACTACAAAAATTACAAAGGATGCATAAACTGTACAATTACAAAATGAAACAATATATTTTAACATTAGACATATTGATGAATATTTTTGAACAATGAACTCAGAAGTTAATTTTAACAGAGCCCACAGGGACATATGCCTCAATGGAAACATGGAAAAAGATGTTGTACTGGACATTTAAAAAAAAGCAACTGATGTCTTAATATTTGAAGGGATATACAAACAATAAATGAAGAGAGCGACTTACATAATTTCCCTGGATTTACAAAATGGATTTACAAAATAGGCTTATTAAAGCTTTTTTGTGTGTGAGAAGGGATATAGAAAAATGAAAATAAATCAAGTTCTAGATTAAAGTGGACTAAAGTTAAAGATTGTTAGAAGAAAATATGGGAAGGAATATAAAATTGGCATACCTGATCAAGGTTAAAATAGATATGTTGATATCTCTGGTAACCCTTAATGGTTTTTTTCTGATCACGACTGAAATGCTGAGGCTGTAAGAATTGGTTTATAGATAAGAGATAAGGATTCAAGAAACATGAGATCATATTCTGTATTTTAAGACAGCGGTGTGGAGGGGTGGGTGTGTGAGTGGCAGGCACATGCACATATGTATGCGCAGTTCCATGGGTATGAGCGATGGTATGCACGCCCTCCACTTATGCAAATGGAGCTTTGTGTGCAAGAGGAGGGTGCTTGTGCTCATGCATGAAGCTCCACTCACACGAGCAAAGGGCCCTTGCACTCGCGCATGAAGTCTCCACGCGTACAAATGAAGGGTGCTCGAGAGGAGGGCACTTGAGCTCATGCACAAAGCTTCCCTCACACAAGCAGAGAGTGCTCATGTGCGATGCCTTTTTTCCAGCAAAAGAAGCTTCCCCACGAATGGCCTCCACTCAAGCTCCCCCTGCTTGTGCGAGGTGAATTTGGTGTAAATGCCCACCATTCAAGTGCCTACCATTTGTGCGAAGGGAGCTTCGTGCACGAGGGGAAGCACCCTCTGCTTGCGTGTGAAGTTCCATTTGCCTGAGTGGAGGGTGTGCACGTTCACCACTCACTCCAGTGGAGCTTTACGCATGCATGCATGCATGCCATTCCGAAGCTGCCCCCGCTGTCTGCTTGCACGAGTGTATGAGATTTGTATGAGACCAGAACTATGGTGTTACTGTATAAAATGGCCTTTCCAATCTAGTATTCCCTAGTATTGTTCAATGGCCAACATTTTATTTGACCATGCTACCTGAGATTTTGCAGATTAAATTTTAATATGTGAGAATAGTAGATTACAGAAAGTTGCAATGAAATAATTTAACTCGGTTAAATATGATACAGTTGGCTCACTTTTTGACAAGATTATATCATAATTTTTCATGGAAATATGTTTCAGGACCCCCAGGACCTCCTGGTGGACTCAAAGTAGAAGATATTAAAAATACATCTGTAATGCTTACATGGAGTCGTGGGATAGAAAACCATAGTCCTATATCAAATTACACTATTCAGTCAAGGACTTTTCTGTCCGAGTATTGGAAAGACATGAAAACAGGTAAGAATCTTAGGAAAAACCCTCAGAGCCTAAATAATAAAATATCATTGATATATTCACGAGACGCTTTTACCAGCAGTTTTAATTACTCCTGATAATGTGCTACAAACTAGAAACAACAACAAAATGGATGAGTTTATATATGTGTAGTGTGATGACCTGAGGCATAGCACAAAGGCAACACAGTCAGTGAATAAGAATGAGTTCCTTTATTAGCTCCAACCTTTCCCCCAATGACCTGGTTATCTTCCGGTCTGGAGAAAAACTCTCCCACAAACCTGCACCAACCTTTGGCTGCAGATATTCCAGTCCAAACATTGTAAACTGAAAACTTTAAACTATAAATCTCACAAGGCAAAATAAGGTAATTAAATCCAGCAGAGCAAGATACGGAGTTCCAGAAATGAAGTAACAAGGCAGTAAATCAAACCAGTTGGGAGGATGCCAGGAACTCAGATAACCGCAGCCAAACACAAGGTAAACACAACGTTTGTTCCCGACAAACGCCCCTCCCAACTGGTTCTCCTTTAAACTCCCTTCCCGGGTGTACCTTATGAAGAGAATCAGGGCCCTTTCCTCCCTCATAAGCCACAACCCACGTTGCTCTCTTCTCCGTTCTTCCCTGCGTCCCTCTCTCCCTTGTTCTACCTCTTCCTTGCTCTGCCCAGCCTGACTTTGCCCTTCCCTAGCTTCCTCCACAGCCAATGGAGCCATTTTCCCGCTCCCTGATGGCTGTTTGTCTTCCTCCTCGGATTCAGACTCCGATGGGGGCATGACCTGTAGGCTCAATAATAATCTAACCACTAGAAATGCACTTCAAAGCCCAAAGTGTAGCAGTTTTTCATATGATTTTCTCAAACCTGTCATAAAACATTATATTACTGCAACAACAGCAAAATAATTTGCTAAATTAGCAATTATTTTGCTAAATTGTATGTCTTAAGACAAAATTGCTGTATTTGCATAACACATTTGCCTAGCTAAAAGCATAGCTCAGCATACTGTATGTAGCTGGCCATTTTTCTAGCATGCATTAGCAAGATGTGTTGAGCGAAGGGCAGTTTGTTTATTTAGGCATAAATGTTGTAAGAATATAGCAACTGTCTATTGTAATTCCAGAATTATGGCTTACTTTTAAGAAGGATTAACTATTTGTCTCTGCCATGATTCTTTCTCAAATCCCCTCCCAACCTGTACATTTTATAGTTTGTACATTCACAATCAACTTGTCCCAAGCAAAGGTCTTCCAGGTGATCTTCAAAGCTATCCAACTTCTATAACTTAGATGTGTGTAATGGGTTCACACTTCTGCTGCTAACTTATTCCATTGTTACATGAATGTAAGATGACTCCCTCAATTTATAAAATTAGCATTGATTAAAATGCGTAATCTACATTAACTACCATAACCTAGACCAAGGTTGTCAAACTCAAGGCCCAGGGGCTGAATCCGGCCCACGGGGTGCTTAGATCCGGCCCTGGAAACAACAAAAGACTTGCCTGCGGTGCTTCTGCCAGTAAAAATACACCTTGGGAGGGCCACGTACAGCCCTCCTGAGCTCCATTTTCACTGGCAGAGGGTTGCAGGAGGCTGTAGCAGCCAAAAACGAAGCTCAGGACTCCGTTTTCTCTGGCAGAGCACCCAGGCCACCACAGGTGCCTCCAACACGAGTGATGTCAAACTGGCCACACCCACCCTTGCCACACCCATTCTGGCCCCTTGAGCTCAACCACAACCCTGACGCGGCCCTCAGTGAAATTGAGTTCAACACCTCTAACCTAGACAAAGTAGAATATAAATTGGGAAAGTGAGATACACATGAAAAATGGGAAGTAGAGTAAGGAACAGATGGACTGGTGTGATACTCTGCACTAGGTAACCAACAGAGTACAACTCTATATTTTATACTGTATGTAGCATGGGTATATCTCCTTACAGCTAAATTAGAAGAACCAGTTTATAATTTGCTCTATTTCATTTTAACCATTATGCTTAAATTGTTGCTGTATGTGTCGTAAATCATACAGCGGGGGTGTCAAACTAGCAGCTCGTGGGCCGGATGCATCATGCACAGGCCACACCCACCCCAGCTCCATGAATGGGAAAAACGTTATGAAACATCACATGATGGCAACCTAACACCATGAGTATGACACCCGTGTCATACAGCATTACTCCCTACTTTGTTGTTGTTGTTTAAAATGAATGTACAATTTGGATTTGTGTGGGTCCATATTCTACAGATGCCATCTCTCTTATGAAACACTGTTAACCACTGTTAATGGTATCCTTCTCAGCTATCTATTTATATAAGTCTTAGGAATCACATAGTTTTGAGATCATGGTTGGAGGAATAACTTCCAGGATTATCAACATGAAGATGATCATTATCATTAAATTAAACCTGTATAAATCACACACAGGTCTAATTCACACTATAGTCTAATGACTGAGAGAAACTAAAAATACTGAATAATTTTTTTTTTAGTCAGCTTTGTATAGATGACAGAACATCTAAGCCTTTCTCAACCTTAACAACTTTAAGATGTGGGTACTACAACTTCTGGAACTCTCCAGCCAACATGCTGGGAGTTGAAACTGACACAATTTAAAGTTGCCAAGATTGAGAAACACTGATTTAGGCAGTGTGAAAATATTCTCAAAGAAGGATGAAATGAGCTAGCTAAAGATTTTACTAGATCTATTATTAATAGGATGTTCATGTAAGAGCAGTATCAGAGAAAATGCATGTAATATCCAAACAATATTATTTTAATTTCTATTTGCAGGGCTGCTTTTCAAAAAATAATTATATCAGCAAGTACAAATAGCAATAGCATTTAGACTTATATACCGCTTCATAGTGCTTTACAGCCCTCTAAGCGGTTTTACAGAATCAGCATATTGCCTCCAACAATTTTACTGACCTTGAAAGGATGGAAGGCTGAGTCAACCTTGAGCAATTCAGAATTGAATTCCTGAAGTGAGCAGTGAATTAGCCTTCAGTACTACATTCTAACCACTGTGCCAAAATATTATCTTACTACTGGCCAAACTTTGTGCTATTGGTTCTTGTGTAATATTAATTACACCAATCACACTGATTGCCAATGTGCTTGACTCATATTTCAAGTAATTGTTTTACCCATTAAATACTATAATACTGTTTTTTTTAAATGTCCATTATTATATCATGAAGTATTTCCTAAAGGATGTGCAACTATGAATGCAATTATCTCTTGATATTCACACTGTTCAGAATTTTGCACTTCTTTCCAAAAGATGCATAGAAATGTACAAAAATAATACCTACATTAGTGAAAAATGTATAAACACATATATGGAATGTAGCTTTTAAACAACGTGGCTATTAAGAAAAAGGAAACTTCTTTTCAAATAAATGTGTTTCATACACATTTTGTTTTTGTTTTTAAATACAACCTGCTGAATAAATGAACAAAAACAATTCAAAATGGGCAAAAGGGAAAACAGAAAAATCGTCCTAACAGATTTCTCCATCCATATTTCTGGATTCATTTGAGAAATTAAACTGGATTATTAATTAAAATTTGAACAAGCCAATATTGGATGTTATGTTATTATTTTTGTTACAGTGCTGTTTTTAATTATTGTCTTTGCTTGTATTTAGATCCTTCCATTGTTGATGGAAATGCAGAATCCGCAAAAGTTATTGATTTAATTCCATGGATGGAATATGAATTTCGTATAATGGCCACTAATATTTTAGGGACAGGAGACCCTAGTATACCATCACAGAAAATTAGAACAGAAGGATCTCGTACGTACAAAAAATGTTTCATTTGATTTAATTATTGTTTTGAGGTTCAGAATGATTACTTGATAACAATGAATTACTATTGAACACAATTTCTATAAATTCAAGCATTTGTGTTTCTGAAATGTTTCAATACAGGAATTACTTTAAATAACTTTACTGGAAGATATAAAGCCAAACACATTTTGAAACCGATCTACAGGTAATCCTTGATTTACAACTGTTCATTTAGTGACCATTCAAAGTTACAATGGCACTGAGAAAAGTGACTTATGACCATTTTTCACACGACCATTATAGCATCCCTATGGTCATGTGATCACCTTTTGCAGTCTTTTGACAAGCAAAATCAATGGGGAAGCCAGATTCGTTTATCAACGGTGTCAATAACTGAACAATTGCAGTGATTCACTTAACAACTGTGGTAAGAAAGGTCATAAAAGCGGGGAAAGCTCACGTAACAACTATCTCACTTAGCAATATATATGTTGGGCTCAATTGTAGTCATAGGCTTAAGGACTAACTGTATTTTTTTTTCAGTATATAGAGAGCTCTCTTAAAGCACATTATATCTTCCTTTGCAACTTTGAGTCTTCCTAGAGTAGGATTCTCCAGAACTGGACTATTCTGGCTGTTCTACACAAAGAAATGCATCCATTAAAAGGATTGTTTTAAATTTCCCTTAACTAAATATGAGAATTTTCAGACAGTATGATATACTGAATTTAATAGAGTGCATCATTTTTATATTTTTCAAAACAAATGTATCTTAGCTTTCCACCAGTTGTACTCAAGTCAACATTACATTCCTACAGTTGCTATTTGAAAGGAAATTTTATATTGCAACAAAAAGGTTGTACATCACCAATTTCAAAAAAATTTAAATGTGATATATTACTGGTGGTCCTCAACTTAAACTGTAATTGAGCTTTGAATTATGGTTATAAGTTGTTATGGTCATAAGTTGGGAATCATGTAAACAAATCTGATTTTTGACATTGTTTGGGTAGTTATTAAGTGAATTCTGCAGTCATTAAGCAAATGTTGTGGTTAAGCAAGTACCATGGGCATTTTTCACTGGAAACCAGAAGTAAATGACAGAAAAAATGTCACAAATTATTGTAATGAGACCGTGGGCCAAGCAAACAGCCTTAAAAGTGAGCCAGTTGCCAAGCACCCAAAATGCAATCACACGCCCACAGGGGTGTGCAGCTGTTGTAACTTCAAAAATGGATTATAAATAGATTTTGGGGAGGCCAGCGTAATAGTTATTAAGTGATCAGTTGTAAGTCGAGGACTATCTGTACAATGAACACTTGTGTTTTGCCCACCAACCAAATATCCTAATAGAGCAGGGGTGGCAAACTCAATTTCATTGAGGGCAGCATCAGGATTATGGTTGGCTTCAGGGGGCTGGGGTGGGCGTGGCCAGCTCCCACTGCTGCTATGCTCGCTCTCCTTGGCCAGGTTGCTCATGGTGTGCATGGGAGGGAAAAGTGTGTGGGTCAGAAGGAGGCCCACTCCATCTCCTTACGAGGAGACCCAGCTTTGTAACCAAAACGTCCTCAGTGATAGGATGGGAGACCACCAGGAGAGGTCAGGAGGAGGGGACAAGGGGATGGCAAAAGGCAACAGGGTTGCTGGTGGCCAATTGCTAAGGCAGGATTTACCTCAGACCCTCACTCACTCTCATTATAATCTCCTTCCTTCCATCCTTCCTTCCTTTCCTCTTCATTCTCCTTTCTTTCTTCTACCTTCCCCTCTTTCCTTCTTTTTCCTTCCTTGATCTCTTGCCCTCTTTCCTTCTTTTTCTTTGTCTTTCCTGTCCCTTCTTGGTTGCTCAAATGCAAAAGGGGAAACTTTCCTCGCCTTGTGATCAAATGTCACTTTTGCTAGTAATGTGTGGCCACTTATAAGACTGAGAACAAACCAGGTTAAGTTTATCCCATGCTTGCATTTCGTGGGGGCGTCCACAGACTACAGTACAGCAAAACTGTCAAAATGATGGCTCTGATAGTTGATCAGAGCTCCTCTGTTTTTTATGTGCAACAGCTTTAGTGTTAAAGAACAGAGATAAGTTAGTTGTTTTTCCTATAGAATCCTTAAAAATCCCCTCTCCTGTAGGGACCTTGCCATAGTCTAATTTAGACTGGAAATATAGCAAAGAAAAATATTTTCCCCACTTGCTTCATCCTGTTTTCCTCACTGGAATTAGCTATTTGCAATACACAAGGAGGGGATCATTTCCTACCAGTTCACAATTCAAGGACACCAATGTTGTTGTGGCCTGCCAGTGGCTGGTGGAGTTGGCAGCAGAGTCGGACCGTAGGAAGGAGGTTGGGGAGGAACCTGGGCTGTTCCTGGAGGCTGAGGAAGGCTCTGATGAGAGGCAGAGATGGGGTCTGGGCAGTGGTGGGATTCAAAAATTTTTACTACCGGTTCTGTGGGCGTGGCTAGGTTGGGTGGGCATGTTGTTGTTGTTTTTTTGCAGCACTACCCGCACCCCGTTTTTTCCTGGGAAACCTCTGAGTGGGGGTGTTTTTGCTCCCAGAAGGCTCCCCTGGGGCTCAGGAAAAAAAATGGAGGGGGACTATGCCCCCTCCCTCCACTTTTTGCCTTCCTGGGCCTCAGGGAAGCCTCTCGGGCGAAGCAGTAAGAAGCGAGGGGTTCATAGGAACAGCTGATTGTTGGGAGGTAAAAAAATACCTTGAGGAGTGAGTGGGTGGCTGAGCATCGAGCGGATGGGGTGAGTGGGCATCGGGCATTGGGCGGGTGGGGCAAGCGAGCAAGCAGCGACCGGGCGACTGGGTTGGGATCATGGCCAGCCAGAAGTAACTACTGGTTCAGCAACCTACGCCAAAACCTTGCTACCGGTTTGCCTGAACCGGTGCAAACTGGCTGAATATCACCACTGGGCCTGGGTGTTCTGTCCTAGGCCTTACCAAAAAGCACTCAGTCAATTCTGAGTCCCAGCAAAAACCTCTTTATTTACAATAATGTGAATTATTGTAAAGTCAGCCAATAGTTTGTCAAACAGTCTCATGAAGGTAGACTTATTACCTCAGATCTTTATCAATCCTGGAACACTGCCCGGTAAATAGTTCTAATTTTCTAAAGTCCAATATCAGATGCATGACCTTATCCTCTGCAACACATATCCTGCTTTGTTTAAATGCTTAATTTAGTACTTAGCATATAGTTGAATGTGCATATTATTTTGCCTTCAACAGGTATTTCTTTCTCTACATGAAGAATTAGCACTGTTCGTATTGTTCAAGATAATGCATGCTGTTTTGACTGTATGAAGGAGATAACAGCATTTCTCCAGGAAGTCGTATATCATTGTAAAAATGTCTAGAAAAGCTTGAATATCATTCTTCAACAAAGTCTAGATTATTCTTTTTTATTTGCTTTTTAGTGCATTGTTGAGTATAAATGCGTATGTGAAATACAAATTGGCATTGCTAAAAAAATAACAACCACTATTTAATCTGGCATTACTTTAAGAAATAAGAAAGCATTAGTTAGACAGGCTAATCAAAAATTCAATGAAGAAAATCTGTATAATTCCAAGTAAAAAGAATGTAAACCAATAAACCGAGCTAATGTTATTTATATTTCCTTTTTCTACATTTGCTTTAATGTAAGAGCTTAAATATTAAATACAGAATACATAAACTTGTAAGAGTGCTTATGTGGAAAATAAGTGCTTATGATAATTTGATGAACAGAAAAAATTATAATGCATGGAGACTTTTTTAAACGAAATAGTGAAGATTCAGTTGTACAACTTAAAGTTAACACCTAGCAACATTGACTGTTGGCAATCATCTGTAGGTGAAGCTTACACAAAATGTAGCAGATTGTTGCTACTTTTAAGGAGAATAACTGCAAGATTATAACATTTCAAAAACCCTATTTATTACTTATATTACAATATAGTTTAATGGATAACGGATTATAAGAGAACCAGTGAGAACAAATTTGAGAACACTGTAGATCAGTAACAATAGCTATAATGTCTCCATCATTGATCCTATCATATTTTGCTAAAGTGCAATATTTCCTCCATAGTTTAACATTTTGTTCTGCCAAGTGAATTGAAGATAAATAATTGAAGGCTTTTTAAACTATGTATATTCTTAAACTGAGTTCTAGAATAGTTGTGGAGAAAACCAGCTACATTATTATCTGGATCATGAAATTTCAAGCAGCATGTTTAGGACAGTGATATCCTAAAATTTCCTAAAGGGTATAAACTAACCTTAACATTAATGTGTCTTAATATTAGCAGAAACAAAGAAAATAACTGAGATTGTTTTCTGTAATGGCTTAAATTTATAGTTTAATGTGTTACATATAGAAATAATGATACAACTTGTTTTGTTTTTCTATATCTGTCCATATCAGTGATGAACTGCCTTTCTTTATCACATCCATAACTATCAAACTTTGTAATAAAATACTGAATGTTGTCCTATGATGTTCAGAAATTTTTATCTTTACCCTTGTGTGACTGTTATGAATGGTTGTGTATTTGAGCATGGATTCATCTGCCTAGTTTATAACCACAACACACAAACACAAATACACACACATGTATTATTTGTTGCTTCTGCATGTAATTATTGCAGTGATGAAGGTGCATGGTATAAATGCCTGATATTTGACCTACAACTAATGTGCTTTATGTTTACACACATTTGGCTTAGCAATATGCATGCCATCATGCAGACTTTGGAGCATGATTTGAACACTGACTAGGATGATAGACAACAACGGTTAGTAATACAGACCGCTGAAGTGGTTCTACTTTGACACTACTGAATCCGGTAATTGGCAGCTTTCCAAACTCAGTACACACTAAAACTTCCAATGATCCTGTGTCTATGTCACCAAGAAGCTGGTATTCTCATACTATGGCTAAAAACATTTAAGTAGGCAGAGCTTTTATAACCAGTGAAAATTGTTGTAAATGTAATGGCATTGACTGTAACTAAGTA